CTTCCTCCCTGTGCAGAGATAAAAGAGATGGCTAAAAGAAATTCCCCTGGACAGCCTTGGCGAGAGACCAGAATGCACGGGTTCCAGAAGGAAGGCGAACTAGTTTCTCGACAATTCTGCCTAAGCGCTTTGACTTTGCCTTGGCAATGACTCTTGAAGGACCTGGAGGCAGAATTATATATTTTTTAGAGCGCCATTTAGGCGGCGTTGGTGTTTACACCCCGGGACGTTGATGCGTCAGCCCAGGCTTGGTAGCACTCCTGCTTATAGCATGATGATATTTTACAGGAGCGACCAAACCATGGTTGAGATTTGCCTCCGATGGGCATCACAGAGCAAGGAATAAAAAGTTCTATATACCGAAGTACCACATCAGCGACAAAATCAGCAACAACGTTAGGATCGTCTGGCGAGAAGGAAACCCGCTCCCAAGGGTAGGATGCATAGAAAGACCGCATCCTATACTAATCAGTTGACCTATTGTGCCAAACACGGCGGCAGCCTGCAGAATGCAACCGCGATTTCAGCATGAGTGGCACCATACTCCGGATAAGATAATGGTCTGAGGAGCCTAAAGGTGCGTCGACGGAAATCTGATATCCGTCCGGATGAGAGGTCAGCAGAAGGTCCAACAGGGAAGGTGTGTGATCCTCCACATCTGGAATCCGCGTAGGCGAAGTAACCAGTTGTGTCAGACCATATGCAGAGGCAAAATCATGAACAGATCTCCCCGCATGATCGGTTAAACGTGAACCAAGCCACTCGGCGTGGTTGGCATTAAAATCGCCGAGGATCACGATCTCTGCGGAGGAGATCTGCTGTAGCAAAGAAACTGTAGCCATTTGTACGTGGTTGAAGAGTCGGTCTCTTTCGGCATTACCGCTATGGGACATATAGAGGCACCCGTAGACGCGCGGAGGGTCGTCGCCGTCTACGCGTAGCCAAAGGATGGATAGGTCCAAACCATCAAGACTGCCGAGACGTCGAGAACAGATGTCATCTCTGACGTATACGCAAACTCCAGCCCGAGGCACAAAGGAGTTTATACCCCGGGTAGGAGAGATACTAAGCATCAGCGGTCAGAAAGAGCGGAGCCGGCCTCACCCTCTCGAGATGGTAGTGGACGGCGTTTAGGTTAGAATGAAGTCCCCTGATATTGCAGAAATTCACGGATGGCGTGGCAGGGATCGCCTTGGCCTTGTTGCTCAGTTTGCCCCGACTAGTTGATGTCTTGAGCGGAAGTTTGCCCCCCCCCCCCTCAGAATATGACGTGCAGCCGAAGCACCCACGCTTAGGAGTGGAGTAATTTGGTCGTGGATGCTCAGCGAGGGATTCTCCTGGAGGTACTATGTTAAGGGGGTGGGGGGAAATAGGGCCTTGTGAAACGCTAAAATATATAATAAAATGTGATGTAAGGCGATGCCAACGCGCCGCCCGCGTAGTATTTATTTACGCGGCTCGCGAGTATACTAGGGGTGGTCACGGAAATGGAAATAAAATCATTTTCGATATTTAAAAAAAGCATTTTTTTTAACAAGATCATTTTTATTACTTAGCATAGCCATCATTTGAATTCAGCTTTACTTAGTAACTCATATTACTATAACAGTAATTCACAATTATAGATATTATATTTATCGTAAACGGCACTTAAAATTAGTTAAATAAGTACTATAAAACACGCTCACGCCTATTGATATTATATTGTATTGTTTATATTATATTGTATAGCGGACTAACTGTATATACAGTTCGTACGGATGAAGAATGGGATTCGAAATGGCGACTCATCGAGCCTGTAACATCAACGTGCACTGTACCAATGGCGAAATCCCGCTAATAACAGTATGTCGATACAAAGTTATATTATTCGATTAATTGGAATTTTTCTAATAATGGGAAAATATTTGAAAAGAACTGTATACGCAAATAGGTAAATTAATTTTAAAATAACTTTTATAATTAGCGAGCGCTATGGCTTCGCCTGGGTCACGCAATTAATGTGGCGTTATTTAGACTTAAGATACTCCTTAAAAACCATTTATTAATATTTCTATTTTAACATAGCCTTTAATTTTTTTTGCGTGGATGTGCGAGTGGTTTAGCATCGGATCGGAAAAGTAGGCTAAAAATTACTTTTAATAAGCGAACTTAGCGATCGCAGCGCCTCAATTATTGTGTCCATATTTCTGGGACATTAGTTTCTACAGCGATCGTTTCGATCAGATGCTAAATCAAGTGATTTACATCACATCCACGCGCAATAAAATATTTCTCCATAAAAATATCTCAAAAATATCTCCTCCTTTAAAAAGGTATATATATATATATATATATATATATATATATATATATATATATATATATATATATATATATATATATATATATATATATATGGTCTTTAAACTGTGGTACTGCGCATCTGTAACATAAATGCACAATGAATGGGCATAAACATATCATTGCATCCAGCATCCACTTTCGGTTTTTGTCTTCAAAACGTTTTCGGGAGGAAAGCACCTTATTTTAGCGTTCGGCGTACGGCGTTGTTACGCAGAATTTGATCGTTTTGATATATATTTATTCATTATATTTTAACTGTATGTGAAGGGTAGAAGTTAGTACTTAGTAGTATAGTTGTAGCACGAATGGTTCGGCTCGACCGCGGAAGGACCACGCTCTCACAGAATACCAGTGTAAAATAGTAGCTTAATGCTGCGGTGTTTCGTTTGGTGAGTGTAGAGAACCGGAGACCCTTTTTACTGGAAACGAGGCATTCCATCTTAGTCCTCACGGGTGATAACGCATTTGCATTTTGATTCGTAATTGAGGGTAGATGTAGATGTCTGTGGGCCACAGCAACCACTTACCATCGGGTAGACTGTGTGCTCGTCTGCCATCCGATCCTATAAAAAATACAATCTAAATGAATATATGGTTTATACTTATATTAAATGAGGTGCTCGCTACAAGATGGTTCTATAACCTGTAATATTTTCTAATAATTTTGGTTTAAAAAAGTCCCGTCGCGCTAGATTTCTTGCTGGTTCCTTCTTCTCAAGACGGAGATTTTTCTAGTCTCGTGGACTTTCAATATAAATAATTTGTTATCGTTCTATTGTGTATTGTATGTATTCTATTCAATTGTGGATTATCCTTGAGGAAAACCAGACAAGCACGTGTCTAGGGGTGCAAGTTTAAAAAAGGGAGCGCACGGAAGTATTTAAAAGAAAAATAATTCTTCGTATCTGATTACTTCTACATCGCCCTTACTCTCTTATCACATTTTTTTTTATTCACGCCCACCTGTTAAGGGTACTCGTGTCCTAATTATTGCAAATATTAAACTATGTTATAAATTATGATAGTTTATTTGTAAAATAAGTAGTTATAATTCAAAATATATGGCAGCTAGACAGGTACCGATGAGGTGCTAGGCTAGTCTAGGGCGCTGTCGACATTTTTTCATGGAAGATACACGAAGAGTCGACGTCCCTGTGGTCTATATGGCAGAGTAATCGTATCTTCGTGAGATAAAGTAAATTAATACTAATAAAACGTCATGTGAATTGAAATACATTTATTTATATTTGTGCATCACTTCATACTTCCACTCTGTCTAATTTCTAATACACAACACCGCAAATAAGGGCGAATATGCATAATATTAAAAATAATCTTAATTTAGTATCTACTAATTTCATCATTTAATCATCATAAGACATGTAATTAGGCTTCGTTATAATAATAGCAATATTTGCTAAGTATGGCTCGAATCATACGTAAAACTTCGATATTTTTATAAATTCTTTAAAATAAATCAAATCATAGACCTTTGTACACTGCTTAATATGTTACTATTTCTTAAATTTATACTACTATATTATACAATAAAAATGGTGTTGACTGCATCCATTGGTGGATCTATTACAATAGAGTATTTATAACAATAATTGTATATATATAAGTCCATTAATTCATAAGTATCTCCTGTAAATATTTGTTTTGCTAAATTGATGCTATTTGAACCAATAAAACCTTAATATATAATGTAAATATGAAACAATATGCAAGGTAACAATATTATTGTTAAAATAATGCTTTGTTTGATATTTAATATCAAATCAAAAATATTATATAAGTAATTTTACTTTTAAGTGCATTAATTAATAATACATTCCCATAACTTGAGCCAAAATTATTTTACCATTTAGTTTCTCTCGACACATCATGATGTAATATTTTTATAATTTCTATACTCGTAAGTTAAAGGACTTTATACAACAACATCTAACTTCCATACCTTAATAATAATATTTTAAAATCTACGTGCTCTGAGCGTCGAAAGAAAATGTTTAAGATGAGAAACTATAAGTAGGTAAGTTTCATTATTTAGCTTTCAATCATATTTGGTTATAATTTATATATTTCGGATGAGAACCCTGTGTTCCTCAAAGATATGGTTAGGATGGTTTTATTTTCAAATAAACCAGGCACTTTCATGTCGTTTAATTTTTTGAACTATTTTAATAAATGTAACTGTGATTTGATTTATTCCGATTTCATTTAATTAAGTTTAACTGTAGTTATAACTTTGTTTATGTTATCTAGTATAAGTTACTTGTTGTTTAAGACATCAGATAATTGGTCTACTATCAAACTATTTTTGCAATTTGTCTAAATCGGAAATCTAGTGCCAAGAGTCTATTTATGGATGTCGTAACAATATGTTGGGATAAGCAGTATCGTATTTTACAGTGAAAGCACCATTAATGGTTACAAACATCCCCTAAAATTACTCACAACTTTTAACTTAACTATTTAAAGCATCAACAAATAAAAAATTGGCACAAATAATAAAACTATTTTCGTCCAGCGTTTTCTATTATATATTCTACTATATTTCGATAAAAAGTAGTGCGTTATCTAAAATAAAAATAATATTAAAAATATATCTATACACAAAAAATACTTTAATAAACTAGCGTTTTGGACGTTTAAATAAAAGCTGGTTGTTTGGCGGAATGCTGTAAGGCGGCTAAGACGTCGTGTTTAAGTCTCACGTACAATCTGCCTTTTCTCCAAGGGTTTTGTAGCTGCAGGGGTCTGAAATCATCTCTGAGGCAACGTTCCCTCGCCCCAATGACTGCCACTAAACAGAAATCTTGAAGTCGTTCAGGACCGTAAACAGGACCCGCTTTCCCCTTTAATACGGCGGCCATGTTGAGTTGTTTGACAACTAGGTCGATGACCTCGCGGGCCGACGTGCGCGGAGTTACGTGAAGTTTTAAGGACGTACCCGCGGCTAAGCCAGTCTCGTAGGCAGCGAACACCTGTAATAATGTTATTTGTATTGGTCACATAAATTTGTTGTATGAATATTATTTTACCTTAATTATAAGTATATAACTAGTAACAGGCAGTTCGAAAAAAGCTTTAAAGGAATTAAGAACACAAAAGACATAGATAGACGGATTAAATAGCAAAGAAAAAACCCTGAATAGCCGTAATGATGTTATAGGAATTGAAACAGATTTCTACAAAAAAATCTTTATATCGCTCAAGACTATGAAAATATTGACCAAAATAACTCGTATCGGACAGACGTAAACTCTACGAGATATACAACATTCATTGAAACAGAAGTTATACAAGCAAAAAGTAGATTAAAAACCAATTAAAACCCTGATTCAGACAACATCACCAACGAAGCTCTAAAATTGGTTCATTCATTACTTGCTCTACCGTTAACTCATCTATTCGACTGCATTTTGAAACATTTCAAGACACCGACATCATGGTCAGAGCTAGATATAATACTAATTTATAAATAGGGTGACCCATGTGATATTGCAAATTACAGGCCAATAAGCTTATTGCCTTGTATATATAAATTATTTTCCTCTCTCATAAACCAAAGAATAAGTATTGCACTGGAACCTTAATGCGCAAACGTAACACTCATCTGGGAACTGTGTACTCCGCCCATAAGAAGTGAAATTGCTCACGGCTAAGCAACTCCTTCTATTCATTGAAGACATAGGGTTAGCCGTGAACTATAGCCATAGCAGCGATCGCAATAGATCTTCTAGGGTGCAGTGATACTGGTCTCTATCCCTAGACCTGCATAGCTACTCGCACATAATAAAAAAATGCACTGGAAGCGGAACAATCCGTAGAATAAGCGGTATTTAGGAAGAGTTTCTTGACTATAGACTATATCCACACTCTGGAAATACTGATTGAAAAATATCATGAAAAACAAAGAGCTCTATATGTCGCCAAAGCGCGTACATTGACTAGAAAAAAGCCTTCGATACCGTGTCACATTCAAGTATCTGGAGAGCAAGGGCATAGAGAACGGGTATATACAGGTAATAAAAAGTATTTATAATAACAACACGAGCAGAGTAAAATTGGAAGGGTCAGCCCAAGCTTTCCCATTGCAAGAGGAGTGAGACAAGGTGACGCGAGTTCCCCGAAGCTGTTCACTGCCATCCTAGAGTCAGTAATAACAAAGTTGGATTGGAAAACTAGCGGCCTAAATATAAACAGAAAATATCCGAGCAACCTCCGATTTGCTGACGACTTGGTGCTTTTATCGGAATCAAGCTCGTAACTACAAGTCATCATCCAATCACATAATGTGACTAGTAAGGAGGTAGGATTAGAGATGAACCCCGCAAAAACCATGGCAGTGAACAAATAGCATGGAAATTTATTTATTTATTTATTTATTAGGATTACCAACAGAAATTACAATAGTAATACAAAGATCATTTTCATAACATATTAAGCACATTATAATTGTATTTCTTTTTATAGGTAATCACAACATGCATTGATTATTTAGTGAATGATAGGATTAAAAAAAAACTTGGACTACATCATTGAATAAATAAGTTATTAAAAAGAAATAGAATTATTTAACAATATTATAGATAACTTCATTATCATATTAAATTACATTAACCACATTATAGAAAACAAAAACAATTCCAATATTATACTTCCAATATTATACTTCTTAATTAATTGATTCATTATTTTTAAAGAAATTTATTAATTTTGATTTGAAGGTGGATAAACTGTCGCAAGTAATATCGAGGCCAGAAATCTTTGAGGACAGTTCGTTATAAGTGCGAGCCAGTCTGGCTAGAGGGGAATACTTTCCCAGGTTAGATCTATAAAGAGACACATCGAAAAAGGCTTGCGGTTTCCTAGGCAGTCTTGATGGCACTTTAAAGTTAAATAATTGAACTATCGCTGGACAATCGACAGTATTATTGAGCGTTTTGTGTAGGAATATCATATCTGAGATACTTCGACGTGATTGTAATGATGTGATGTTAAATTGCGCCAAACGTCTTTCGTAGGAATCATTAGTTTGATAGCTATTCGAACGGTACGCAAGATGACGTAGCAGTCGTTTTTGTATTCTTTCAATTCTAATGCTATGGATCTTGTAGTGCGGATTCCAAATTTGACTGCAGTATTCTAGTTTACTTCTAACCAGACTACTAAAAAGTTTTATTGTAGTGGAGGGCTGCATGAACTCTCTGGAATTCCTCAATACAAAACCCAGCGTCTTCGTAGCTGAGGTGATTATGCTATCGATATGGTTGGTAAATCTTAATTCGCTGTCTAGTATAACGCCTAAATCACGTATCGCTCGAACCGCAGTCAGTTTTTCAGTATCAATATAGTATTGACTTTGTTTGTAATTATGTTTTCTGGTAAACCTAATAAGTCGTCATTTTTTGCCATTGAGAAACATTTGGTTGTTATTACACCATTGTATAAGGCGATTGAGGTCATCTTGCAATAGTTCGACGTCAGAGTTGTTTTTAATGGTTTTAACTATCTTGAGATCATCAGCAAATAGATAGACATTTGAGTGTTGAAATATCGAAACAATGTCGTTTATAAAAATGTTAAAAAATACAGGACCTAAGTTAGAGCCTTGCGGTACACCGGAGTAGGCAATATAAGGTTGCGAGGAGTACCCGTCAATCACTACGGTCGAGGGTCTATTTTGAAGGTATGATGCACACCAGTTCAATAATGTCCCATTTATACCAAAGTCTCTTAGTTTATTGACTAATAGTGCGTGATTTACTTTGTCAAAGGCCTTAGAGAAATCTGTGTATATGGCATCCACTTGTAGTTTGTCATCAACGTTCTCGATTAAATCAGTGACATATGAAAAAAGATTTGTGACAGTAGATCTACCAGACAAAAAACCATGTTGCTGCCAACTAATACGTCGTCCTAGATTTTTGAAAACAGATTCATAGACCAAGCTCTCAAAGACCTTTGACATAGTAGATAATATGGAAATCGGTCTATAATTAGAAACACTTGTGGGATTTTCGCTTTTAAAAATTGGTACTATCCGTGCCTCCTTCCACCTTTCGGGGAAAATGCCAGAGCTCAAGGAGGTGTTGAATATAATAGTCAACGGAGCAGCCAAAGAATTTGCACACCTGTATATAAATATAGGCGGAATACCGTCTGGACCTGCACTTTTTGTTGTATTTAATCTTTTCAGCCTTTTCTTAATTTCTCGTTTAGATACGTAAATATTGCCTAAATATTTGTTTGTTTTGGAGACTGGTTGTGTATCAAAATTGTTATTAATATCATCCTTGATAAAAATCGATGAGAAATGACTTGCAAACAAATCACATATTTCTTGCCTACCGTTTGCCTCACGATCATTCAGAGACATTTTATTAGGGTAAGTTGAGCCTTTACGATGCATGTTTTTCATATGCGTCCAAAAATACCTCGGATTATTGCTAATAGATTCCTCGATGTGTAAAATATAATTATAATAACATTTTTTTATTAGTTCATCGCAATCCTTCCTTAGGTAAGAAAATTCAATTTTATCTAGTGGATTATTATATAATTTAATTTTTTTATGACATTTGTGTTGTTGCCCTAAAAATCCTCTCAGAAATGAGGGGAGGCCTGTGCCCAACAGTGGGACGTATATAGGCTGTAACTTTACTTTACTTTACTTTTGTTTTTGAGATACAAAAATATTTTGGAAACGTAAAATTTCTCTATTGCAATCCTAGTAACCCTAGTATCTATAAAAAAAAAAAAACAAGAGACCAACGATATGCATTTTGTAGGCGTTTCAAAACTTGAATATTTTAACAAAAGACAAAATGTTACATATACCTGTAGTATTCCAGGCTGGTCAGGTGTACGCTGTTCCACAGGGGGCTTGATGTCCTCCTCGTTTACTTCTTCAGTCTTAGGAACCTTATTGTTGCATTCCACATCCTCCTGCGTCTCTAACAACGGTTGACGTTTAATACATAAATTCGATTTCTGGAATAACTCCTGTCCAGTGTCCGTGAAGTCAGATTTCACATTGGTCATACTTTTCGAAGCAATGACATTGCACGGCGCTCGTTGATTCGGTGACGGACGGAATTTTTGGGGAACCACTGATATTGGACAACTCTGGCTCTCCGAATCGCTGGACAGACTCTGTGCGGACTCCGAAACGTTGGCCTTCATAGACCTAACACTGATCATGCTCCCAGGGTAGAAACCTTTGACTGCCATCAAGGGGCTGGACGTCGTTGATACGCTTGCGGTATTTATACTGTGTGGTCTTGGTTTCGTTTCAACGTTCTCGTCTTGCAATACTAACGTATCTTCGCTCTTCGAGGGCGGAAGGCGATTGCTTCCAATACTGGTGTGTGAACCTGACGATTTGATGTCAAATTGGGAATTGCTACTTAAGTAGTTGTTACTCATAAGGCTCGACTGGGTGAACTGGGAATCCCCGCTGCCCTTTCTCGAGTACTTTGAATCTGCGTTTAGAAGCTGTGAGCTGCTTAAATTGAGGGTAGATACGGATGTTTGTCGCGGAGACAGGCTTAGCTGTTGCTCAGATTTGCTGAACTCCGGATGCAAGTGGGTGTGGTTTCCGTTGCCAGCTGGACCGGGCCAGGAGCCTCTACCTGGCGAAGTTTTAGTGATTTTACCATCTCTAGATGGTATTTGGAGTAAATCTACTTTAAGATGCCTGTCCTTTTCGACCGTTTGCGCTTCTGGACTGTCGGTGCAGATTTGCAACTGATTACTATCGAGTATATGTTTCATTAATATTCCCGAACTGGTTCCAGTCTTGTCTTTGTCTCTAGCGAAGCCTATTAAGTCCATGAGCCAGCGTTCACCTTTCCACACTATGTTGAGATTATTTTGCAGGTCTTCCAGTTTTGTTAATCTTTCTTTTGCGGTTTGGAGCTCAGTGCAAGAGAAAGCTTCCCGGTGCGAGTGAGCAGCCAGGGCTACATCTAATTCTAGAACACAACTAAGCTTGGAGTACTTGTTGAGCATGTTCATGTGGTAAGTTTGAAGATGTATCATTTCAAACGCTTGGATAGGCAGACTAAGTAAATCGCCTTTTTGAAGAAGCATTTCCTTTTGTCCCGGGACGGAGCAGGCTTGCTCAGCTGGTGGGCAGACCATGATGAAACTGACGTCGCTGTTAAGCTCTATGACCTCGAGGTCGTAAATTCGGTGGGCATTGACGGTTTCAATAGGAATTTCCATGTCTTTGAATAGTCTCTGAGAGGCGCACGCTATCTGATCTAGGAACATTTCTTGAGATTCTGAAGGATTTTCGTCGTTGGGGTTTATTGCTACTATGTTGTTTATGGCCTGCTGTTCTTCTGTTGATGTTTTGCCGGACTGGCTTAGCAGGTAATCCCATTCCTCACTGCAAAATAAAGGAAAACATGTTGTAAAACTACTACTACTGATACCTGAAGAACCTTATCAATTGATTGATACGAGATCCACTCTGCAGCTATATTATGACTATAGTACGAATAGGTCTGCTCGACCGCGGCAGGCCTACACTCTCAAAGAATACTGCGTAAAATAGCAGTTTAATGCTGTTTAGTATGGTGAGTGAGAACCAGAGACCCTTTTTACTGGAAACGAGGCATTTCATTTTAGTCCTCAGGGGTGACAACGCATTCTGAATTTTAATTCTTAAGACGTATATGGGCCACAGCATACACTTACCATCATCTACTTTAGGTGGACTGTGTGCTCGTTTGTCACACTTATTGTAAGAAAAAGAGTAGTTGATTTACCCTAGAAAAAAGCTTGATACATCAGTTAAGGCAAAGTGTCCAGAAAAAACAGGAAAGTTAGGGCTTGAATTTTAATATCACGAAAATGAACGATGGATACTTACGCAGACACATGTGGATTGTCCCTCACTCTTGTATGCGGCGGAACATTGGGAGTGCGAGCGGGAGCGACAATCCGTACAACTTCCACGGAAGACTGAAGTTTAAGGTATCCGAGATAGAGGCCACGTGGTAACTGCACTCTGGACACCTAAAAAATGGAAACTAACATAAATAATTGCATCATGATCAAATATGGAAATAAATAAATGAATAGAGACTAAAAATATGTTTGTATTCAATTTTAGTTAGTAGCTCTAATTCGATCTCCGTTGGCACTAATTAAATTATTAATTGCAGTGTTGAGTGTTGTTATTTTACTACGTTCGGCGGTGAAAGAAATATAAGGATATGATAAAAAGTTCGCCAACACGCACTGTATCAGTGCGGCGGACAAGCCGCTAACATTTTCAGAAATGAAAGGTGCAAAGGACGTTATAGGCGACGCACCTGGTGATATGCGATCTGGTCGTATACGGAGGCCATGAGCAGCTCGGTCATGGCGTAGTTGTCGCTGAGCACGCGGCGGCGCAGGTGCGCGACAATCGCCCAGCGCGCGTTCAGCGCCAACACGCACTTGCATACATAACACATGTGAGACGCGACGCACCTGGTGGTAGGCGATCTGGTCGTTCACGGAGGCCATGAGCAGCTCGGCCATGGTGTTGTCGTCGCTGAGCACGCGGCGGCGCAGGCGCGCGACAGACGCCCAACGCGCGTTCATCGCTGACACGCACTTGCATACATAACACATGTAAGACGCGACGCACCTGGTGGTAGGCGATCTGGTCATGCACAGAGGCCATGAGCAGCTCGGCCATGGTGTTGTCGTCGCTGAGCACGCGGCGGCGCAGGCGCGCGACGGGCGCCCAGCGCGCGTTCAGCGCCGACACGCACTTGCCCGAGCGCACCGCGCGCACGCCCGACACCACCACCGTGCCGTGCGCGTCGCGCAGCGGCTTGTGGTACAGCTGCCCTGCAGCCCACACCCAAGATTTTACCGTTAGTGTGGCCTGATAATGTTACTAACTGAGGTGAACAAACACTTCTATGTATACTATTACAATTTTTTTATAGCATAAGGGTGACAAACAAGCACACAGTCCACCTGATGGTAAGTGGTTGCTGTGGCCCGCAATCTACATCTATCCTCGATTACAAATCAAAATGCAAACGCGTTGTCACCCGTGAGGACTAAGATGGAATGCCTCATTTCCAGTAAAAAGGGTCTCCGGTTCTCTACTCTCACCATACGAAACACAGCAGAGTTAAACTGCTATTTTACGCTGGTAATTTTTGAGCGTGGTTCTGCCCTGGTCGAGCCGACCCATTCGTACTACAACTACACTACTAATGTAGCTGCAGTACGGCCCTGCCACGTATAAACTAAAACTGTGTCACAGTTGTGGAACAACGTCTTCTTAGTCACATTACATATCGAAAACAGCGTACACGGTTTAAAAACAGAACTAGTTTTCTTGCCCGCTCGCAGTCGACTATAGAAGTAAAAGAAGTCGGCGAATTGAGCGTAACGTAGTGCGCAATGTAGGACTTGTCTGACTTGCCTAACCTAACCTAACCTAACCTAAATTTTCAATTTTCCACCAAATCGTAAACAAATGGCAAACTAATAAAATACGTACACAATAATATTGGCAGATAGTTCCATTTTCAAAATTTGAACTTGTTTTTTTATTATATCGTGGCCAGTTCCAAAAATCTTTCAGTTTCGCCCTCTTAATGTTAATTCGAAAAAGCTTTATGTGACACCTTTAAAAAAATATCAAGATCTCGAAACATATTTAAGACCTATGTTGGAGTTTGCGTATTTCCATAGATATATAACATTATGGAAAATGTTCAAAGGAAGGCTACAAAAATGGTAAAACAACTGCGAAACATGACGTATGATCAGCGACCGAAAAAGCTTAACCTAACAACACTAGAGTGCTGCAGAAAGGTAGGTAGTCTGATTGAACCATACAAAATATTGACAGGATATACGATGTGTCTAATGCTCAAAATTTATACTTACTGAGTAGCAACAAACGTCTGAGAGGACATCAACTTAAATCATAGGACTATATATTAATTTTAATTTTGATACCGCTGCGACAACTTTATCCCAGAATTAGTATCAAAATCAAAGAAGGGTTCTTGTTATTAACTGGTTTAACATCTGTAGGACTATATGAAATATGAATAAAGTTTACTTCATAAATCAATTGCCTTGAATCAAATGGCGTGTAGTTGTAGCGTAAACTATCTCATATAGCACTGGGTGTCGTAAGAGATGACAGAGGGAAATTATTACGTGGTAGAGCCATGTGCAGTTATACGTGGTGAGGTGGGACCGGGGTAGCTTAATGCTGCTGTGTTTCGTATGGTGAGTGTAGAGAACCGGAGACCATTTTCAGTGGAAACGAAGCATTTCATCTCAGTCTTCAGGGGTGACAACGCATCTGCATTTTTATTCTTAATAGAAGATAAATTAAGATGTCCATGGGCCACAGCATCCACTCACCATCAGGTGGACTGTGTGCTCCGTGTCATCCTTATTCTAATATTAAAAAAATCTAGCAATATCTTCCTGATAACAAGTAAAATAATAAAATACTGCGGTTCTCAACCAAACGTTTCAACGGTGACATATATGGTGGGAATATGGGGCAATTATGGAGAAGGCCAGTGCTTAGCTTAGATTTCGATCGGCTGTACTGATAACGATTTAATTAAGTTCATTCAAATTACAGAAAAATATAGCAAATCAATTTAAATACCATAACATGGAACATATGACAGCACTCCAAAAATAACTCTAAAGTAGCTCACCTAAATCTTGTATACATAACGCGGACTGCATTTGAGCAGCTGCAGTCAGCAGCTTCAGTCTGAAGTGTATGGAAGAGGAGGTGTGCTTTTCCATATCTGATCGCAGGGATTTCACGTCGTCCCAAGAACAAGACACCTGGTGGTTAAAATTAATATTTAAAACTAGTTTTTAGCGACGAATTCATCTGCGTAGAACTAAAACAAGAAAACCCTACAGATCTATACAAGTGGTCTTTAGCCAAGTGGTTCAACTATCGAAAAACCACTTTAGACTTAAGTTTTTTTCCTATTATCTCGAGAACTATGCGCAATATGGAAAATATTAAAATATAAAGAATTGAAGGTCTATTTCTAATTTTACATAAAAAAGGTCTTATCCACCTATCTTTTCAGTCTTAATTTTATTGTAAATTGGTAACACCATTTTGATTGGAAATAAAAAAATAACAAATAGATTTTTCATTAAAACTATATGAGATGAAATAAATAATATAGATAGACAGCAAAAGTGTGATAATCTTTTAAGTGTAAAATTGCAAACCAAACAAGTTTTATTTGAACCTTTTTTATGTCTCTTATAGTATATGAGATCGTCATCCAAAAACCAATTCTACACATTTTTTTCTGGTGATACATACAGACTAGATCAATTCTGGAATTACTTCGCATCTGTTCGTGAAGGTTCATCACAATTGGTTCTGCAATTACTGAAGATTAGCCCGGATATACACACAGAAAGACAGACTAAAAATAAAAAAAATCCGCCAAGTGTGAGTCGAACTCGCCCATGAAGGGTTCCGTAGCAGCAAGTAACATAATATAAAAGTTCTTGTAGTTTGTTGTAACTTTGATCGATATTTTAATAATAGTGTATTTTTACGATTTATGACGTATTAAAAAACTACTTACTAGATCTCATTCGAACCAATTTTCGGCGAAAGTTTACATAGTAATGTACATCATATATTTTTTTAGTTTTATCATTCAGTTATTTTAGAAGTTACAGGGGGGGGGGGGCACACATTTTATTGCTTTGGAAGTGTCTCTAGCGCAAACTATTCAGTTTAGAAAAAAAAATGATATTAGAAACCTCAATGTCATTTTTGAAGACCTATCCATATACACTCCACCGTATGAGTTTGATGAAAAAAATTTTGAGTTTCAGTTCTAAGTATGGGGCGCCCCCAAAATTTATTGCTTTTTTCTATTTTTGTGTAAAAATCTTAATGCGGTTCACAGAATACATCCATTCACCAAGTTTCAATAGCATAGTTCTTATAGTTTCGGAAAAAAGTGGCTGTGACATACAGACGGACAGACAGACTGACAAATATGACGAATCCATAAGGGTTCCGTTTTTTGCCATTTGGCTACGGAACCCTAAAAATGGTTATTCTTATCTTAATAGCATAAATAGACAGCAGCTTTTCGATAACCGTGAGTATAAATAAATTTAAAGGGAAATAATCTCTTTCATTAGTACCTTCATAAGCCAATGGAAGTCTGTGTAAATACACGCGGGGTAGGTTTCATCCACTTCAATAACCGGTAGAAATTCCTCGCTGGTGACTAGAACTTTGTCTTCATGGTAGACGATGCACGCCAAATATACTCCCCTGAAAAAAAAAAATATTTAACGTATAATATATCACGCCGTATTATACATAGGCTGCGCTAAAAGTATCGGGAATGGAATATTTCCACTGTTCCTGTCATATTAAACTCTTTTTAATTGAAAACTCCTTGGTTTTAAAAATCGAATACCATTTATTTACTTAAAAAAAGATTCTCGGTCTTGACACAAGGTTTTGTCAAACTTGTTTAGTGTTGATAAAATGGAATTGACTCGAGAAAATTCAAGAGCGATGATTTATTATGACTTTCGACACAAAAACAGTATGATTTCTTAAATTTACGCGAACACTACACATTGAATAAAACTATTATTTACGGATTTTATCGCGTTTAATTACTTTAATTTATTTTTATTATTATCCCGACGTTTCGTTCAACAAAAAGTTTTATTCAACAAAAACAGTATGTTAACCGGATGATTTCTGCATTTGGCAATGAAGCCCCATCCAAAAACACAATTTATCGCTGGTTTGCTGAATTTCAACGTGGACGTGTCAAGCTCAGTGATGATCCCTGTCAAGGTCGTCCAAAAACTGCAGTCACCCAAGAAAACGTTGATGCTGTGCGTAAGCTGATCGAGGAACATCGACTTGTGACATACCGCGAAATTCAGGCAACTTTAGACATTGGCATGAGTCAAATACAAATAATCTTGCATGAACAATTAGGTGTAAAAAAGTTGTTTTCCCGATGGATACCGCATTCGCTCTGTGAAGAGCAAGAAGCGGCTCGCGTTACTTGGTGCGTCAGAACTCTCGAAAGATTCCACGCGGGATCCTCAAATGCTGTATACAACATCGTATCAGGTGACGAATCCTGGATATACGCGTACGAACCCGAAACAAAAAACCAGTCACGAGTTTGGGTGTTCGAAAATGAGTTAAAGCCAACAAAAATTGTTCGTTCACGGAGTGTTGCAAAAAAATGGTGGCCACGTTTGTCTCCAAAACCGGCCACGTTACGACTATTCCTCTTGAGGGACAAAAAACGGTTAATGCAGAATGGTATGCTAGCATTTGTTTGCCACAGGTCGTTTCTGAACTCCGTAAAGAGAACTGCAACCGCCGCACCATCCTCCAGCACGCAATGCGAGTTCTCACACCGCACACAGAACAAAAGAGTTTTTAGAGCAAGAAAACATAGAATTATTAGATACAGCCCCGACCTAAGCCCTAATGATTTCTATGCTTTCCCTAAAATAAAGAATAAATTGCGTGGACAGAGATTTTCATCACCTGAAGAAGCTGTGGACGCCTACAAAACGGCCATTTTGGAGACACCAACTTCCGAATGGAATGGTTGCTTCAATGATTGGTTCCATCGTATGGAAAAATGTGTCAAATTTCGCGGAGAGTACTTCGAAAAGCAATAAATACATTTTTAAATAGTAATGTTGTGTCACTTCCTTGATTCCCGAGATTTTCAGATCGTAATAAAGCAAAGAAGATTTTATGCCTACAGCGATCTACTATGATATAATACGATTCAGAGACTAATTTATTGGATCTAATTATTTGTCTGTGGAATTAATGAAAATATTCATCTATAAATGATCCCTACTTTCTAAATCTTAATTCATCATAATTACGTTCCTTTAGAAGTTCACTGGTGAACACAGGTCTTTTACAAGGAAAACTGTAAAACATGACCATTAATTTCATTTACACTTTTCTCACATGTATTACAAAATTACTATCTATTATACCCTACTATAATATATATATATATATATATATATATATATATATATATATATATATATATATATATATATATATATATATATAAAAACATTAGAATACAAAGACTTTTACGAACGAAAATACAAATGCGTTGTTACTCTTGAGGGCGAAAATGGAATAAATCGTTTTCAGTTAAAAGGTCTCTGGTTCCCTATACATACTATATCAAACGCAACAGTATTAAGATGCTATTTCACGCTGTTATTCTGTGAGAGCGTGGTTCGTGCCCGGTCGAACCGACCCATTCATGCCACAACCATTACCTAGCTGCAGTGTGGCTATACTACGTATAAGTAGAAGTGTTTGTTATTAGTCACAAACCATACGTAACCAACGGTGAAACCCGTGAACAAAATCTGTTTTATAGTACGTACGAAGTAATATAAGTACGTACGTACGAAGTAGTATATACGAAAAAACGTAGATAGACTAGCGCAGCGTTTATTATTGTTTTATATGAGGTATATTGGTACATTTAACTGCCTCGTTGGTCTAGTGGTTGTAGTAGTGCGACTACTGATCACGAGGTCCTGGGTTCCGAATCCCGGGTCGGGCAAAAAACGTACTTAAAACGTATTATGAGAGTAAAGGAATAGAGAGTGCACCTGTGCTTGCGTATACACTTGGGCACTATAATCCTGTCCTGCGCCGATGGCTTGCCTCTGTTGAGGCAGGGCGCCGTGACCGAAATTCGGTCTGGAGGACATTATTATTATTATTTTTGGTACACTTATTTATTATATGGCATTATATTAAAACAATACATAAATAGAATGGTAAGCCTGGGTGTAGAAGTTTTATCGATATATTTTTTGTCAAACAGTCCTATCTCTAATATTAGTTCCGTGGACGCTCACTTCTGCTATCAGCGCCAAAATGGCTAAAATCAAATCGCCTCATTATGTCACGGCATATATGACAGTTCAACGTACTTGTGTTGTTAATGGCTGCATTTGGCAGAAAAAAGCGCCAGCAAGCGCTTGTAAGCAAAATGGCTAAACTAAGCAGTTTTCGGCCATGACACGTTTGGTAACTTCAGTAGCGCTGACACAATCCGCCATTTTGCTTATTTAATTTGTTTGTTTTGAAGTAGAGTTTATAAGTTGTTTTGTGCAATATTTAGTTTTAAGTAATATAATGACATGAATAAACATATTATTATACATGTTATTAAAAATTCATGATTAGTAAGTTTTTAATATGAATTCTTTACAAACATATATTTAAAATAAGTTAGGTTCCCCGGGTAAAACTAACTTCATGTCCTAGAGGAAAATAGCTACTTACGATTTGACAGCGCTTACCGCTTACGATCGCCATTTTGCTTACAAGCGCTTGCTAGCGCTTTTTTCTGCCAAACGCAGCCAATGTATAAGTATTGTTAATATAGGCTGACCTGCGTAGGTTCTTCTGGAACTTGCTGGCGGCGGTGAAGAGCTGTCGGATGGTGGCGGTCTTCTTGCGCGGCAGGCGCGGCGGTGGCGCGACGGGGCGATGGCGCGCGCCCGCAGCCGCACTCGCCAGCGCCTCCAGCGCTTCCGCCGCACCACCGCCCGCACCCCGCGCACCACGCGCCCCGCGACCCCCGCGCCCCGACACGTCCCGCCAGCCTACACGTCACAATATACCCACGCTATATACATGTACATATTTCTTTTCCCAAGTTAAAGCACATAATCCATATAATCGTATGTAAATGAAGAGATATATGTTTATAGCTCTTCATTTACGTACAATTGTCTTAAGAATTATCACAAAGCACGTCGCCATGCGCGCGATAAGACACGTCCCAAAAGATGTTTATACATTGTAACGTATAGGCTGATACGTTACAACGTATACACGATATCTATCTATTTATCAATACCAAAGTCACATTTTAATAAATTCAGGCTTGTTTAAAGGCATCATTACATTCCCTCACAAGTCTACACGTTACAATATTAATTAGAGAGGAACCGGATCCTGGTTCTGCGCGATACCCGCCAACAGGATACTCGGCGCATGACTTTGCTGAGCAGCCCGCAAAATTACCGGGACGCTTGGAGGACCGTGCGTTTTGATCACTTGCACTTGCTGTATACTACTATTCAAACTATTTAACTTATTGCATTATATACTATTCAAAGTTGATTTTATACTCAAGTTAATTTTAAAGGTTGAGATTATAATTGTGTTAAAAAACCTTTAGGGGTTAATATTGTTTTTTCTTTGATTTTTATAAATATAAATGATTGATATCACAATATATGTATGCTGTTTTTAATTCCCGGACGTCATTATCCGGCACTCGGTCGGATCCCCAAAAAATTGCGAAATTTTCAATCAAGCCATATTGTTATTTATTAAAGTGAGAGTCAAAAATATTTAATTTCATTTAGGCTTCTTTAAAGCTCTTATGCACGTTGAAACCTACACCGGTTCAAACCTTAGGGAATAATAAAATCAATGCAATTTCAAGCGTGTATTTCTATTTTTTAGGTCTTTACCTACGAAATTGCGGTTTTTTATGAAATAAATTAACGTAGTTTTTTTTGTAATTTTTTTTTAATTCCTATTAATCAAAGTAATCACACATGCAATCGATACATTTGTGATTACTTTGCCAACACCAGAGGCAGTTTATTAATGCCCCTCTTGAAGAAATCACCTGGTCGGGAGGCAACAATTTCTTCAAAGGAATTTTTTACTGTCTCTCGGGTATTGAAGTTTTTTCCCGCCAGAAAGTTATCCAAATTTTTGTTACGGTGTTGCTGCCACGACGGTACTCATATTCCGTAAATAATCAAATTTTTAACGTATCCGTGATGACGAAAAGATTCAAATGCGATGAAAACATAACGCTTATCAATAAACAATTGACTAATTGTGAAAAAAGAATTCCAAGTTTTTTAAATAAAATTAATTTGAAATTAGAATTCTTAGCCAAAACGTAAGTTTTTTTTAAGTGAAACATCACTTCTAGATAAATTTGGAAAGTAAAACATTACCTAAATACAAAATTTTATCTAAATCGTGAGAGCTATTTCCGGCAAACCAAGTACATATATATATATATATATATATATATATATATATATATATATATATATATATACAGTGTGTCCAAGGGAAGTAGTAATCAAACTTTAAGTGGTGTTTTTGCTCTGCGCTGATATTTTTAGTTTCATAAATTTTGAGAGAGTTAGGATAGATTAAATTAAAAAACTTATGATATTTTTTAATGTTTTTTTCAGTTATTTTAAAATATCAAAAAAACTAGAACATTAAGATATCTTTTTTTGTATTGTGTGGCTAGTATTTGAGCTGTTCTAAAAAATGATGTCAAAACTATTACTCTAGGCCATTTATTTCCGAAGTTATTGTTAACCAAATGGGACCCCTCCGCAGCGCTATATATATATATATATATATATATATATATATATAACATAATATGTAATTGGCTAAATGGCTTACTCAAAGTAATAAGATTTTAACAATATATCACCATCCAGGGGATGTGCAAGTGCAGAGTAATGAACGACACACACGGTCAGTTCAACTGATCATTCCATCTGATCAGTTGAAACTAAAACTGTTGATATTTTTTAATATATCGGATTTATTATAAAACTCCGATATTGATATATTTATAATCATCGATATATCGAAAATGCAATATTTTAAAAAGTAGCAACAGTTTTATTTTGAACTGATCAGTTAGAATGATCAGTTGAACTGACCGTGTGTGGCGACTATAAGAGTCATTATATTACACACGAGTCAGAAGATATACAAAGTCAGAGGTCGCAATAACTCGTTTCTTGTAAACATTTTTTTTCTTATAGCATTTGAAATTAATATAAAAAAAATACGTGTGGCACTCTGTGACTGCCGCGGTAAAGCTATTGCATAGCATTTTTATCAACTTATGCAATTATAATTATTTATTTATTTTATTTATGCAGTTAAGTCTTTGATATTAAATCAAGTTACACTTTTTGAGCGTGGTGACCGATAAGAAAACAATTTTTTTCTCTTATTGAATAAATGAGAAGTTAATATTGTTTAAAATATTTTTAATATCTTACAATACATGTAGGTTAATCAGGAATTTTTATCATTGAGTTAGCAGCTAGTGTACACGCATACGTCTAGTCGCACGCACACAAACACCGTGCCGAAGTCTGCCGAGTGCCGAAGTCTGCCGAACTGAAACGACGTTAGACGATGCACGGCTTTCAACGCCACACCTCCGTGCCCGTCGGAGTGGGGAGCGTGAGGTTTTTTTCGTTACGGAATTTCTGGATTCGGTCCCCGCGCTCAAGGCCCGCGATAGAAGCTATGCAATAGCTTAAAAATTGTCTACAAAAGTAGTTTTAAAGTCAAACTCAATTTTTTTATACAAAATCGGCCTCTCTAAAGCCGTTTTGAGCGGCTATGTAGACGTTGTGAAAAGAAGCGGCAAAAAAAACTCAAAGTAAACTTATTCTCTCAATAAATTTTTACCTTAAAAACATAAAAAATGCACAATACAAAAAATAGCTTACACTCAGCATTCTTATCTTTTAAATAATCATATAATTTGTATTGTCCTATAAGCATTACAATAAATACTTTTTACAATCAATCGTTTGATCCGGAATGATAAAGATGTAATTGCAATCATCAATACTTTGATGCGATTTCTAATGAACGAATCATTCACGATTGACACATGTCTACTGTGGAGCCTGAGCTTTGGTACGCTTAGATTAGAGATAAGTTTAGATTAACGCGTGACAAAGTGACCGACATGACTCATTTTGACAAAGGTATTATTATCTCGCATAAACAACATTATCCAAAATGAACTGTGATGCAACAGTTAAGATTATTCCGAAGGGAATACCTAGGTTCCTAGAAGGGGTAGCCTTTCCATCTCATATGATTGTACTTATAGATTACAATATATAAAATTTTAAAATCATGATCTATTATCGACACTAGATTTTCTGAAGACCCATCTTTGACGATATTTATGATTATGACATGTACAACCTGATAACTTCTGCCCATTCAGTCTTTCTTACTTCGTCGTTACAGTCGTCTTACTTAATTGTGTACTTATAAATACTTTGCATTCGACATTTTATTTGAGTAACCTAATCCTTTTTTTAGTACTTTTTAATGTTTTTAAGCTATAATATAAGAGAAAACAACCGTATTAATTTAAACCAGATCGATTAACTTTTGCAACATTATACACTAGTTACAAGATTTAAACATTGGCGTAAATTACCTTTGCCTACGAAAATAATTTAACCATAATTGTATCATCAATATTTATATTTTAAATGGGTAAGTTGTAGTACTTTCGTGTTAACATACCTTTTTAATATACCCACAATCCCTTTCACCCTCACTCGTGACGTTCATGCCTCGGGGTAAGGCATGCAGTACTTATACATAATTCAATTTCACTGCCTGGTTCATCAGTATCGAATCATTACTAAGTAATATTTGCAAAAGCGCAATACGGGCAATCTATTAACTTTGGGCCTTGGGAGTCGCTATTCGAACTATTTAAGGAAGCTAATATTTTAAGATTTCCGTCGTTATTTATTTTTGAGATTAAACATGAACGGTAAAATTAAGTTTATTTGATACAACCGATTGTCTTATATAGAACAGTTCGATATGATATGCTATAGCGGCTATAGAAGCACTTCTGTAGGGGGTTGTAGATGCGCAGATTGGCTAAATCTAGAAAGTTTTTTTTTTAAATAATTACATGAGACTTTATTATATCTTTATAAAATATCCTTCAATAATCAGTCATAAAATTAAAAAAAAATCTTAAAGATTTTTCGTTAAACAGCACATCATAAAATATTGAGGAAAATGATGTGTGACAATATATATAATATAATAACTTTTATAGTCGCCACACACGGTCAGTTCAACTGATCATTCTAACTGATCAGTTCAAAATAAAACTGTTGCTACTTTTTAAAATATTGCATTTTCGATATATCAGGCACGAACGTCACGAGTGAGGGTGAAAGGGATTGTGGGTATATTAAAAAGGTATGTTAACACGAAAGTACTACAACTTACCCATTTAAAATATAAATCATTAGCGCCACTTTGATTTCTTTTTTTTACAGCAAATTATTGTTTCAGAGTAAAATATTTTGATAACACATAAATAACGAGATTATAAGTAATGGCTAAATTTTTTTTTTGGTTCATCTATGTGGTCTATGTTAGATAAATCAAACGGTAAATAGAGCTCTCTCGCACCCAACGCAATTTCGAGCTTTATTCGTGTACCATTATAAGGCAATCGATAATAAAAAGGCGAAATCTATTCAGCGCGTTAATAGCTAAACATCTTCATCTCCAAAATGCGCTGTTTCTTTTTTTCTAAATATCTTTCATTGTCTTAAATAAGAGGTCTCAATTTCGTTAAATTTCGCTGTTTTCGCCTCATAAAAAACTATTTGTTTCATAGCAATAGCTGAAAATATTTATGCTATAATTATTTTTTTCTCAAGGGCAGGTGTTTAATTAGACAAATATTAAAAAATAATAATTTAAACCACTTTATTTCAAAATTAATAATTATTTCGATCGACCTATAAAATATTGACTTTATAAACAATAATTGCGGGCAATATTCCTTAGTAGCCGCTGAGCGGCTGTAGCGTTCAGACGTCTTGTCTGTGCCAAATTTTTGCACTTCCTCTCGCTCTAACATTCCTCTTTCTCTCTCTTTCCCTAATCTTGGTTGCGCATTGTTACGAATTGAAAGTTGCTCTACTTTATTATTTTTTGCATATAATTCTTTAAGGGTTTATAAATCATTTTGTATTTGTTTTATAACTTTTAATTTCGATATGGACCATAAACGTAAAAAATATGCTTGTACCAGAAAACGAAAATTGAAATCAAACGTTGAAGCAATGAACAGAAATAGAATTCAAAGGTAAGTTTTTTTGTGTTTCATAGTAAAATAGTTAACAACGTGCATATGTGTGAGCACTTGGTTAAATATTAGGTATATAATTAGGTAGGTAAGTTTTAGGAATAGTTTATAAATGAGTTGCATATTTGTAATGCATATAGGTAAATGCTATACAAAGTTACATTATACTTTAATGAGAAACTATAAATATGTGTGATAGTGGACTGTTTGTACTTGTATAGAAATTATTTTGAGTTTTTTTTTTAATCTATTTTAGTATTTAGAACTACTTGACGTACTTGACGGATTTTCGATAGTGTCATCGACTTATTACGAAACCCTCAGTGCACGACTCATTCTAGCACTTGCCAGATTCATTTGAATAATCAATAATTACGAGTACATGTTATACAGGTTCTAGATGATTATCTTTTAGAAACCTTTTCAACAAAACAACAAAAATTATACAAACTTAAAATATTTTTTTTTTTGTGTAACGAATTTTGTAATAAAAGCATGGAACAAAAATAGATACGAGGTACAAAATCTGTATGTGAAAATTTGTTAGCTAATTATCAATAATCCTGTATATTAGATAAATTGATACTGGAAAATCTTAGTAGAGCAACTTTCCACGCTACGGCCAGAAAGATAACTGCGGTGGCGGTACATGAAGTGGCGGGGCAGGGAGGGTGTAGATGTGTCACCAGAACGCAATTTTTCTGTTTTGCTCTGAAAGACTGGGCTCTTAAGGTAAAATTTTATTGAGAGAATAAGTTTACTTTGAGTTTTTTTTTTGCCGCTTCTTTTCACAACCTCTACATAGCCGCTCAAAAAGGCTTTAGAGAGGCCGATTTTGAATAGAAAAATTGAGTTTGACTTTAAAACTACATTTGTAGACAATTTTTTTGCTCAACAACTTTTATATTAATTTCAAATGCTATAAGAAAAAAAAAATTGTATATCTTCTGACTCGTATGATAACTTATAGGATGTAAAATTTCTTGCTTTAATCTTTTATGCTGACGCCGTATCGTTATAATTATAAACTATACTTATATATTAATGTGAGATTTTACTTTGAAAACGTTTTGGGACCAAAGCGGAGATGTCCCAAGCGGAGACGAGAAGAGATATTTTTCAGCTTGTGTATATCCTCCGAATCTTTTTTTTATAGGATTAGGTGACAAACGAGCACAGAGTCCACCTGATGGTAAATGGTTACTGCGGCCCATAGATGGAATGCTTCGTTTCCAGTAAAAAGGCTCTCCGTGTCTGTGCACTCACCATACGAAATACAACAGCATTAAGCTACTATTTTACGATGGTATTCTGTGAGAGTGGGGTCCCTCCCCGGTCAAACCGACCCAATCGTGCTATCTGAGTGGAGATGTGTGCTGGGTAAAGGGGAACTGAGCTTCGTGCGGCGACCGTTGCATGTTGAGAAGAACGCACAGTTTAGCGCAGTCTGATACAAAGGGCAGACGTCTCAGTTATGTTCAAAGATTTAAATAGTTAGATGCGCCTTTACCATAGTATGACCACTCCGAAATGAGTCCATTCTCAAATGAGTGAGCTCACTCATTCGCAATCAGTGCTCATTTGTGCGACAGAGAAAGTAGTATACTTAATTTCTGTAAGATAATAAGAGATGATACTATTGCATTAGTGTGCGCGCGTCAGCGTCTTGCAAACGAATACATCCAAAAATAATGCCACAGTTTTCGACGTGAAGGCGCATCTAACTATTTAAATCTTTGGTTATGTTGCTTTTACAAAAACTGCACGGCATATCTCTTCTCGTTTCCGCTATGCGCCGTCGCCAGCTTGCGAAGCATAGCTCACATCTCCTCTTTGTACCACCCAGCTCAATCTCGGCGAGGCACAGCTCACATATCCGCTCAGTGGTATCCACTGAAGTTGATTGAAGACGAGATGTGTGAATAACGAAATTATATTGGTTGTTTAAAACACATCCCCTCTCCTTTCGTCTCCGAGTCCGTGCGTTCGCCTTCCGTGTGTGTGGTTACTGATGACAATGAAATGATTCATGACATTCAAACAAGTCCTTTATTTCCTTCTTTCATTTATGTAACCAGTATGTGTTTGCAATAATGACTTAGATGAAAATGAAACGCTTAGTTTCCCGTAACCAAACACGAAGCCATACGCTGCTATTTTATGAGGCTGCTATATTATTTGGCCCTTCGAGCCGGAAATTTTTTATTATGTAAGGTATATCAACAGTCAAACACTACTATTAAACACATATATATGGCACTTACTGCTCGGTACAACGCTTCTCGGCACGGACACGGTATAAGGTCCCCATCCCTTAATATTCCCAGCGGCCGCTCTGAAGAAATACCGTCGACCCCGGGTCAGCCCGGCTGCTAGTACTTTGGTGCCGTTGGTAGTACCAGCGGCAGCTACCTCCCGGGAACCGCACACGTTCGCGAAATCAGCCCGGGATGACCATTCCACTGTAAAGTAATATATTCGTTAATGATTACAAAGTTAGGATTAAGTAAATGAAAAAAATAATTCTTAAAAAATATCTTAAAAAATAAATTCTAATTTAAATTAGAATTTATTTTTTAATTTGACCTACATTTTCAAGATTTAATGCCTTTAGTAATATCGATTAGTCTGTAATGTGTATTGTAAAATGTAAACATTAGTCTTATTTTTCGAAGACTGCCTCTGCGGATTCGTTTCGTGGTTGAAGTAACAAGGTTTAAAAAATTTAAAATTCTCATTTTATAATATAAATCATGTTTTATAACATTAGACCATAATCTATTATAATTTGCCTCAAAATCGAGACCGTCAAGATATACTAGACTCGTAAGATAAGACAAATTGTGCATGAATCTCAAAAGTCTTATCAAGGGTTGTCAGACTGACTATGTATTATAACATGAAAATTTAAAAACAAACAAGAAAATAAGCAAATATGTCATCATTATTATTGGCAAAAATTGGACGAAAAGAAATAAATTATTACTGGTATTTTTAATATATATTAAAAGATATTTTCATCCAACGATGGCTGGTTGGTAGCTCGAGAGCCAAAAACTAAACTGTTTCACATTTATGTGTCCTATATCCATGATCATAATTTACATAATATGATAATGTAATAGCAGTGTAAGGGTCGCCCGGCTTCATGAGATCTATATATTAATACTAGAAAATACCCTTTTTAAGGTTATTGCGCTCATGGAGGTGTGTAAAATTAAGCAAAGTTAAACTTTTATTTAATATGTATTACATATTAAATAAAATAAAATAAAATAAAAAAAACATTCATTGTTTTCGTTCACGGCAAAGAATTTTCAAATGTTGTTGAAAAATAATTACTGATTGAGTGAATAAGCTGTGAATTTAGTGTAATTTTGTCAATAGCTTATGTCAAGGCAATAAAAGGGGTTATTCTTTATTTTGTATATGAGATATGTTCTTATATTTTACTAGCTTTTTGCCTGCGACATCGTTCGCATGATTTCTAATTTATGGACATCATCACTGCTTCGTGCCAAAATTAGCAAATTAGATCACTTGTATAGTCACTTCAGCGTCTCTGTCTTTATATCTAACTTTCACAGGAGTTTTTTCAGAGACAATTTATGTAGAATATTGAAACTTGGCATAGTTATAATATGCTTCAAGAATACAGAAGTGAGTTGTTCAGAATTGCGCTATATACGTCAAGCAACACCTATCATTTTTACTTTACGATGTATCCTTATAAAGGGTAAGTTGATTAACTGTATTAAGAAACCGCAGATAATACATATATACATACATACATACACACACACACACACACACACACACACACACACACACACACACACACACAGACAGACATATATACATACACACACACATATATATGTATATATATATATATATATATTGGTTGACCGAGCTTTTCTTGGTAATTTTTTTGAAATTGTATTTAGATACAAATTACATACTGATGAAATATGAATAATATTTTTTGATCTTATTGACATAATACATATAAAAAACTGAACTGTTTATTTGAATGAAAAATCATGAGTGCAATTAGTTTAACTTAAATTTTCGTATTTAAAAAAAATAGTAAAAAAGAGCTAAATAATAGATTTTCTCACAAAAGAAGGGAACTTTGTCTCTTCTTTCTCAAAAAATAAGTTGGACCGAAGACAGGACGCGAACCAAGGCATTACGATTTCGCGACCGCTCGATATCAACTTGAGCTATTACGGTCATTAACACAGTGTCAAAATTTTCCTTCTTGTATTGTTCGCAGTTTTTCATTGCCTGAAAACACGGACAAAAAGACATTTTCTAAAAATAAATCCTAGCTAAATCGATTTATTGCCCTCGAAACTCCCTGGATACTAAATTATACGAAAATCGTTGGAGGTTTGAGATTCCGATTATATATATCTCTTATTATTATGGTCTTTCACTGTACGAGCACAAGTAAAATATAAATACCTTTGTACTTGGTGACGATGGGCGGGTCGCGGTGAGTCGCGGGCGATGCACGGGAGTCTCGCAGCCGCACAGTGACCGCGTGCGCCCCGCACACCTCCAGCTCGGGCGGCGCGGGCCCGCCCGGCACGCGCGCCTGCTGCCAGCCCAGCGCCAGCCGTCTACGGGACGCACGCCACGTGCAAGTAATTACACACTAAATAAATTATACTAAATACTAGCTTGCCAGGCAGACGTTGTTCTGCCCTTTTCGACGACAATTTGTCATGTCCTATTAAAAATCCTTAAATTCGCAAAAAAAAAAAACTATACTATCTCTCAAGTTGGACCAAACTGAATACGGTGTATAAATTTGATTAAAATCGGTTAAGTAGTTTAGGACTCCATCGCGGATAAACAACGTGACACGTAATTTATATATATATATATAAAGATTAATTATAATAAATTAAATAAATATTTAAAACACATTTAAATGAAAACTCCTTTTTAAAACAAAATATCTGTGAGACCGTGGCCCTTTCCCGGTCGGCTCGATCGGGAAAGGGCCACAGTCCTTCAGAAGCTCTTTAATTCCGTGCTCCATGATGGCATTACTCCGGAGGCGTGGAGCAAAAGTGCGGTGGTCTTGTTCTTTAAGTAATTTCCCGAATGCTGCCCAGCCTTGTTGGCAGTGGTAGTAACTGTGTCTTACTTACAACACATCTCCTACTCAGGTATACCTAAGAACTTGAAAACGAGACCGTACACCAGTGCGTGTTACCAGCGATGATTTATGGATCTGAGACATGACCCTTCACTGCTGGCCGTATGAGGACACTCAAGGTGCTCAGCGAGCTATGGAGAGGGCTATGCTCGGGGTTTCTCTGCGTGATAAAACTACAAATGGGGATATCGGCAGTGGTTCCTATAAAAAATAAGGACCAGAGTAACCGTCATATCTCAACGGATTAATAAGCTGAAGTAACAATGGGCCGGCCAAGTAGCTGGAAGAACCGGAAACTGATAGGGAATAAAGGTTCTCGAGTGGCAGCTTTGTACTGGTAGGTAAAGTGTAGGGCGACCCTCCAGCCCCTCACTAGATGGAGTCACGACCTGGTAAGACATGCAGGAAGTCGATGGATGCAGGTGGCTCAGAACCGTGGTTTGTGACATTCCTTGGGGGAGGCCTATGTTCAGCAGTGGGCTAGTGAAGGGCTGTAATGATGATGGTGATAAATATAGAAATGCCACAGTTGGATTTATTTCATAACTTATACCCATACATAAAACTTTTAAACAACGTTATGTATGACAATATATTATAATGACAAAATGTAGCTTGTTTTTACAGAACATAAAAAAAATTAAGTTTTCTTATGTGTACGCGAATATTTTTGAATGAAACTAGTTTTAACGAAGTAGTTAGTACTTTTAAGCACCCATGGTCACGAGGCATGTGCCAAAATAAGTGAGTATACGCAATAAAATCCCAAAAAAGTAACTATTTTCATTTAAAAGGATTAAATTGTCATACTCTAAACATTAGAACATTCTCTTATCATTCTATTATAAGTATAATTGAAATGAGCTACCATTTTTCCATGTATCCAATTCTGAGCTAGGATTAAAGTTTCAAATCTCTATCTCATCGGGAAGTTAGTATAATACTCATGGCAAAATTTGTACTGAACAGACAAACTGAGAAGAAAGCGAGTTAATAATAACCTGGTAAATCAGTGAAAAAGAACTTACGTGCATTCATTAGTTGAAAGTTATAAGTATCTCTTACTTGAGAGTTCGCAATCTCCTTTCCCAGTGTTGCGCCTGTTTGTCTTTCTCCGAGGCAGCCCCTCCTGCGCAACCCGTTGTACCAGCCTGACCACCCGCCGAGGACCTGCAAAAGTAAAGAAATACTTTAACACATAGTTAAAACGACGTAAGAAACAAAAATGGAATTATGTATTTATTATTATGTATTTATCTATTTAACTCTATAGATGGGTAAAAAAAGAAATAAGGGCAACCAACCATATTAATTCTATCTCACATTCAAATAGCTTTTAAGGGTCCTTATAAGGATTCGAAAGATGCAGCTTTGCAATCCTAATAAGAAGTTTAGTGGTCAATCACTGCAGGTGCAGCCTGTATGAGGAATGGAAGTAGCGATGATGAGCGCTATTCTCGGAACTTATCTGCGTGGTAAAATTAAGTAACGAGGATATTGACAGACGAACAAGAGTTACCAACATAGTCCAGCGGATCAGTAGACTGAAAATAGAAAGTCGAAAACCTATGAGAAAAAAAAAGGTTCTCGAATCTCGAAATGTTAGCAATTAGCTATTTGGTTTAAAAATGATGAAAAACTCTAAAAATATTTAACTATACTTAACCAAATCTAAGAAATACCTTTTGAAATTTCAATTTAATACCACTGCAGCGAAGTTGCAAATAAGTTAATAAGATGCCGGCTTAAACAATGGTAGTATTGTCATTTAGAACCATTTGAAAAGGAATTGGCTTAAGATACAAAAAAATGAGAAACACAAAATAATTATTTAGACATGATGCAAAGAATAAAATTTTTACGAAAAATAAAAATATAAACAATAGGGACAACGTTATACACATTAACGGAACATGACTAAACGCCAACCACAGTGTCGCACACATGGACTGATGACATCGACATGTGCCCGTAGGTAAAGGTTTATAAATAATTTACAACGTGGGATCCGCCGGAGCAAGATTTGTAGAAAATACAACAACTACCCCCGCTCGCTGTAAATTTCACACACGCACGCGCGAGAAAACCGGGTTCGATCCCAGCCGGCACCAATGAAATTGTTAATTGCAATTTTAAGTGCTGATTTACCACGTGCTCGGCGGTGAAGGAAAACATCGTGAGGAAACCTGCATGTCTGAGAAATAAGAAAAAAAATCGAAGACATGTGAAGTTCGCCAACACGAATTGGGGTCGCGCGGTAGACACTTCCTTGCCCTAATACCCTCTCAAAAATAAGAGGAGGCCTGTGCCCAGCAGTGGGACGTATATAGGCTGTAACTTTACTTTTTTACTACAACAACTACTCAAGGGATGATTGGGCTAAGTGATGGAGAAAACAAAGAAAATTGTTATGGACGACTATGAAAGAGACAGGAATACATTATAGAAAATCAAATAAACAACGCTGTAAACAACGATGCTGATGACGACAGCTCAACTAGTTGTAGTGAAAGTGATTAAGTAAATTTGTTTTTGATCTAACGCAGGCTTTAGGCAATTAATATGAAGAAACAGATATATTTTGTGTTTTGAGTTATCTGTTTCTAATTTATTCTGTTATTAATCAAGATAAAACTGTAAATTATTACCAACTCTAAATAATCGAATATTGTATGGAGTTATTCCGTTTATCCACCCTCGGTTTTGCCCATCGGTTAAGTACATTCTTTTATAAAAACTTGATAGAAACTGGCCCAAGATTACTTAGTAGACATAAGTATACTTATAAAAATACATACATACTAGAGTTGGGCCGATTAGCCGCCGACTAATCGGTGAAGCCGATTAATCGGCCTGTTTGTAGTTATATCGGCCATTCACCGAATAGTCGGTGATTAATCGGCTAAAACCACCGATCAATCAGCTTTTTATTTGATGAATTTCAGCAAAGGTTTTTCGTGATTTTCTGCGTGGTAAGTGCGGCTACATTGATATGAGTAAAGCCTTAAATTTAAGAAAAGAATAGTTTCTCTCTCATGCGTAAAATCACGTCAGATTAAGTAAGTAAGTAAATCAAATAAATAATAAAATAAGTAGATTCATACATACTTTTTATTGAAAAATCAGTCTCACTTGTTTTAATGTTAATTATTCTGGACATAGGAACTTTGGTAAAAAAAAGAATCTGAATCTTTAAATTTAAAACTAAACAAAAATCTAAGTACTTACTTACTATTTTAATTCTACTTTTTAACTTTCTCTAATCGTAATGCAAAGTAGTAACACAACAAAATAAAATATTAATAATGATATTCTTAATAAACTTTAGAAAAAACCAAATTTTAAGTCTCTTCCTTTGCATAACCAAAAAAAAAACTTAATTCTTGAATAAAGATTAACTATACGCATGTAGATTTTTAAAAGACAAACAGATCAATACTTGTTTCTGTACTTAAAACTAAATTGTTATTGTTTTCGTACATAAATTTTAAATTAAATTGTTATTTTCTGTACGTAAAATTACAACAAATTGTTTTTTCCCCCTGTAATGTTATTAAATAAAGAATCTCCTACTAAACTAATATACTTAACATCAGGTGAGCCGCATGCTCGTTTGCCCCCTCTTCTATAAAAAAAATCTCCAATCATCTTCATCATCAACGAATGAGACCTACATTTCCCGAACGCCGCCGAAATAGGGATCTTCTGGGCCGATTAATGGGCCATTTCTTAACCGATTAATCGGCTAATCGGCCAATCGGCCAAAGTACTAATCGGCCCAACTCTAATACATACTTCTTGTTTAAAGGTATAAAAATGAAATACTAATTTCATTGTTGAAAAAATTTTAGTCTTTTATTGAGAGATAAATTTACACAGAATATACAATTACCTCTACTCAATTATAAAATTAGTGTCGGTCATTTCCTGGACATATTGTAGAATTTATAAATTACTTATTATTATTTAAAATAAGGAAGTTTAATTTGGTTTAAATGCAATACGTAATATGATTTTGGTTAAAGTTTGTGGTTATCAAAATTTAAACAATAATATGTTAAAGTATGAATATATTTTCTGCTGAACTGTACTGGAAAAGCTTGGAGGCGAACACGCGTTTGCGAGTATCCCACATTAGGGTGGACAAACGGAATAACCCATTTATTTTATCATAACTCCAAAATGACGTAAATTATGTCACATCGAATGATATGTGATTGAACAATTAAAAGTATTTCAGTTGCGACCTTTAAATAAGTATGCTAATATCTACTAAGTCTTGGGTAAGGTTCTATCGTATTTTTATAAACACATGTTTCATCACATCATCATCATTCACATGTGTACAGTACACAGCCGAGGGGGAAAGTCGTAAGAAAAGTAATATACGAATTCGAAAGACAAATTAACAAACGAACACGCAATTTCGAGTATCCACACCGGGGTGGATTTCTTAGGATGAATAATAATAAACGGAATAACCCTATTTCTTAGATTTGGTGGAGTGTAGGCCTTTTCTGTTTAGGAGTCCGTCTCGGTATATACCACCCACTTATATATTTCCGCTGCCAAATGGTAGTGCATGTATTGCTGTGTTCTTATCTGAAGGGTATTCAGAACCAGTTCTCTACATATAATTATAGGCTGTGAGTGGTTTCCTCAGTCCACCATAGTCCGCAGGGGTGACAACCCATGTGAAACCCTTTTTAGTTTGAATTTGGATACATGTGTTCATACCTGCAGTAACCATTTACGTACAGGTGAACTGTTGGTTCGTTTGGCTTTTCATAAAGTCAAAAAATGAACTAACTAACGGTCATCCATTTAAAGAATTCTTTTGCTGTTAACAACTGTGCCGGAAGGTATTTTATGACAGGAAGCAGGCACAGACGTATCTCATACACTGTATGAGTCTTCTTGAGTGCGCAATTAGTCCTGGGTTTAGAACCTGGATAGCTCAATTTAACAACGTTGAGACGCTATTAGCGCTAACGTTGAGGCGGTGTAATTTAATTCAGCAAGTACTAAAGATTCCAATAATTCGCACCTCTGTATTTAATACACGCCTGTTTCGCAATAGCAATTTGGCCAATGCACATCGGGCCGGTGGTTTGATTCGCGCACTGGAAGAGTGTGGTCTTGAAACAATTATTCGAGTATGTTTGTTCAATTTACGAATGTGAAACGTTTTTGGAGTTTATTTTATAATTGAAAAATGAATAGAAAATGTGGTAAACTGAACGACCGCATTACTTACCGTGTACAGGATTCTTCACGGCACACCCTCTCCGGAGTACAGCCGACCACGTTGTGAAGTCGCGACTCGGCCTCTCGTGATAACCTTCTTAAGTGAGCTCCCAGAGATTCGGGAGTCTTAACTGCAACGTTAGATTATCTTATTCAAATATTACTTTTATTATAGCCTTATATCCTCATATCCTTATATCCTATATTGATTACGGAATTATTGTTTAGTTGAGAATGTCAACAAAAATTAATTGCCATAATTATTTAAAAAAAAAACGATTCAAGTTTTCGGTAGAATATTATTGACTTTAAATTACAATCTAAATTATAGTCCTCAAATCGTAATCTTTTAAGTGCTTTTAAAGGATTTAAAATCAAAACATTCTGTCACTCAGTTGATAGTAAACAAAAAACAAATCAGTGTCAAGAATAATGAATGCGCTTGCTCTGATAAATCGACGGATAAGGAAACCTGTAGTATCCGCTGTCGGTGAGTGCAAATACTATTTATCACAGTTCGAGTGACACGCGACACCGATTAGATTAGACAGGAAGTCAAGATTCGGGGGAATGCCCTGTCGGAGATATCTTAAGTTCAGGTATTTCTCTTTTTTAATCGACTATGACAAAGATATTGTTTAAATTTTACTGCATTTATTGAAATGTTGAGCAATAATGTAGTAAGGTCAACGAAAAGATACGCTAGAAAAAATTATTCTAGATTGATGGTAAGAAAAATGCCAGATCCAAAATATTTACACTGATGTAGCGGTGTGCACAGCGCTCACACGCCTACGTTATACGCGAGCAAACTCACACACACACACACACACACACCCCACACCCCCCCACCCACCCCCGCACGCACGCACACACGCACGCACGCACGCACACAATTTACTACACACACACACACACACACACACACACACACACACACACACACACACACACACACACACTGTCAATCTCTATGTTTATTTTGCATTAATACTCAGATATTTCATTAAATATTTTATAGATTATCTAAACGTTAAATAATGAAGTCCCCCACTACAATCTCTATGGATCTAAAAGGAGTCCCCAGCCAACTAACTTAAGTAATCTTTTATTTTGTTAACTAAAATAAAATTGAAATAAATATCCTATTATATTTATATTCTGAAGTTTCAAGTGACCTGCCATTTTTTTTGTTACGCTAAATATCAATAATAATTTTATTATTTCAAACAAACAAAGAATGTCTTAATTTCTAGGATACCAACACTAGGATACAGGTTAACAATACGGTCGATTTATTGTTTATGTCGGCTTTTCCAACCACATCAAACGCGATGACTGACTGTATGTGAAGTGAAGGCCTTTTCTCATCGTCGTGCATCGCAACTTAACAAGGCGCAAGTTCGGTCTCATATTCCATAACTGTTCTCATCTCTGGGCCGGAACATCCAGCGGAAAGCGGCTCGAATCGTCGACGACCGAGTTCTTTCTCATCGGCTCGATTCACTGGCGCTGTGAAGGGATGTTGCATTCCTTTGCATTTTCTATCGCATTTACCACGGGAACTGCTCTGAGGAATTGTTCGGATTAATTTCAGCCGCCAAATTTCACGAACGCACATTGCTACAAATGCCAGCGGGGATCGAACCTGGATTGCTTGCGTTTTACGGGCATAGCGACTAAGTTACTGCGGCTCACATTTGTACATGTAAGTGAAAAAAAAAAATGTTCCCTTCGTAAATGTAATTCCTACTATGTCCGTTGATGTCTTTGGTAGTTTTCATCATAATACATATACATACATAAACACTCACGCCTGTCACCCAGAGGGGTAGGCAGAGACTACAGACTTCCATTTAGCACGATCCTGACATACCTTTCTCGCCTCTTCCACATCCATATACCTACGCATACATGCTCGTCGGTTAAGGGTACTCTTAATTTGGCCCATTTTTAGTATATCGCCAATTTGGTCGACAAACTTCCACCTAGGACGTCCCTTTCCGACTCTTCCATTCACTTCTGCAACATATATTTGCTTTGTCAGTCTTTCCGCATTCATTCTTTCTACATGACCAAACCACCGAAGCATTCCTTTCTTAATCCTGGTCACCGCATCATCTTGCAAACCACACTCTTCTTTTATCACACAGTTTCTCACCCTGTCACTCAGATTCAGCCCTAACATACTCCTTAGCGACCGCATTTCTACTGCATTTATTCTACTCTCGTGCTTCTTCTGCCACACCCAACTTTCACTACCATACGTTAAAGTAGGGACTAATACAGCACTGTGAATTGCCATACGTGCCTTTTTTTGACACATTCTGACTTTTCACAATAGAGTGTGAAAAGTCAGAATGTGTCAAAAAAGGCACGTAATATTTAAATATTTGATATTAATATTCATCATAATATTATATCAAATATTTTAGTTCTAATAAGATTTCGTCCTATATTCTGTCAGCACTTGTTAGGTCCATGGAATCTGGTTGTGCACGGTATGCACTCAACCGATTTTATTTTTAATATAACCAATAGATTTTTTTTAATTTTATATCTAATTACATTACCACCGATTATCACACTAATACAAACCTTAATTGCAACAGCTTAGTATCTAGGACATAATTCACAATCACTTATAAGTAATCATCACTTGCACAATGAAATATTAACTAATAAGGCCATAAACTAAAAGCTACACATCTAAAATTGATTATAGTAATATAGTAGGATATTATAGATTCAAAAGTATACTTACAATGAGTCCCCTCTTTGGCGCCAAACTCCATAAGCATTCTGGCGAGCTGCCGATTGTTCGCCAAAACGGCAACGTCCAGTGGCGATAGGCCATCCGGATTGACACTGTAACAATTCGTTGTTTAAATTTATCTAAAAGAACTTCTTGATTTTTAATTCATTTATACAGCTCGTGAACTGTACATGACTCTTCTACTAGAGCCCTCACTTACATAATAGGTCGGGGGAAAAGTTTCTTCGTATTTTGTTGGTATAAAATTAAGAAAAATGTGTTTAGTTGTGCTGTTTGTATCTGGCTGGTTTTGATATCAAAACATAATATATGACATTAAGAAAGTAAATTAAAAAGTAAAAACTTTGCCGCTATTTTTTCAATTGATTTTTTGTCCGCCATAATGAGTGAATCTAACGAGTCCACATTCTGAAGTTTTATTACGAAAAAGAGTAAAATGTGACTCAAGGCGCGAAAAAAAAATGTGACGTTAGGACCCAATGCAGTGCCGCCAGTAAGTTGGTTCAAGCGTTTTCAGCCTGGTAATTTTGATGTCAAAGATGCAGCTCGTTCTGGTCGCTTCGCCCTCGTACGGATAAAGTCGATGCCATTTTTGAAAAAGTGGAGCAAGATCGGCATCTTAGTAGTTACTACATAGCCGAGGAATTGAGGATTGAACACAAAACAGTTTTGACCTATTTGAAAGTCTGGCTATACAAAAAATCTCGATATTTGGGTACCACACACGCTTACTGTAAGAAACCTAATGAATCGTGTTGAAAAGATTGATAACTGGTGATGAATAGTGGATCACCTACGATAAGAAGGTGTAAAAGTTCATGGTCAAAGGTGTAGTCAAGCTCTAAATCTCTAAGACTGTAGCAAAACCCGGATTAACACGCAATAAGGTGATGCTATGTGAAGCTTATACCGCCGGACAAAAGCATCGATTCCGATCCCTACTGCCAACACCTAATGAGACTCAAGCAAGAAATTGAGAAAAAACGGTCGTAATTGATCAACAGAAAAGAAGGGGTCTTTCGTCAAGATAACGCCAGACCACAAACATCTTTGGCCACTCAACAAATATTGAGAGAGCTTGGTAAGTGTTAATGCATCCACATTATATTCTTGACCTCGCACCCTCAGATTTTCACCTATTTCGGTCTCTTCAGAATTCTTTGGGTAATGTTAAGTTAACATCAAGAGAGCTGTCAACACTAATTGTTGCATTTTTTGATAAACTACTTGTCGCGTAAAATATGGCAACAAGTTATCGAACAAAATGGTACATATTATAATTAAATGTAATGAAAATATGAAAAAAAAAATGTCTTTATATAATTTTTTTCTCATATTTTATTAAAAGATTGTATATAAAATACAAAGAAACTTTTCCCGACCTATTATTTTACTATTAAATCGGTAATGATAGACCCTTTTCAATTCCTAACAGTCCCTATCGATTTTAACGAGTCTCCTAAATATTTCTACTGTCAAACCGCAGCTCCCCCATTGCTGTGTATTTGTTTGAAGGGACGGAGCGTCAGTATAAATACTGGATTGCGTCCTAGTTCTCAGGGCGAGCAACTTTATGCCATGAAGTGGGCACGCACCGTAGCGCGCGATAACTCGCCCGTTTCCCGTGTCTACGTTCAACGCTTTCGTGGACATAAAACCCTTGTAAAGCAAGGTTTAGAGTCTAAACCTTGCTTTACACATTCACCGCCCATTCGTCCATCGTCTAAACTTTAGACGAAGCCAGTAATGCTGGCGCCAGTCCACAGACAAGCCAGTGCTGGCGGGGCTCGTGTTGTTTAGATGAAGTCAAATGGATTCATTGCATTCCTAGATTATTCTTGTATTAAATTAATTATTTTTTAAACATTTACTGAAAATAATGTTTATCTTATAGTACATACATCAAATATAGGAATTTGTATAATATCAATAGTAAATTTTTTTTATATTACAAACTATTTATTCTGGAGCGGGGGTTGCGGGGCACGCGGGCGGAGGTTACTGGCTTGAAAAATAGGCAGGCGCTCTATTCCCGCCAGTGCTGGCAGCCAACGCTGGATTGTCTTGAAAAACTGTTTATTCGTGGCCAATAACAAGCCAGTACTGGCTTCGTCTAAACCTTGCTTTATGCCTGAAGTTTTATTAACTTAAAGAAAGTTGTCGTTTTAATTTTAATCGTGCTATCTGTGTGCGGTTTACCTGTTGACGTCCACGTCGGTAGACTCCAGGATGTTTCGAGCTTTATCCAGATAGCCATGTTCGACGGCTGCAAACAGCGCTGAAACAAAAAAAAATATTTTTTATGAATATACATAAAAATAAAATCAAAGCAACTGACAAGTTGACCTCACGTTGACCCCTGAGACTAAGTTATCAGGCACTTAATAACTTAGCCATTATCTTAGCAAACCAAAGCAATGTTAATCTGTTTTTGTTCTATCTGACTTAAAATTGTATCGAGACGAATTAAAAGTGAGAAAATGATAATAAATAATAAAGCAACCAAAAATCCCACAAAATTATGAATAATTATATTATCTATATCTTAAATAAGTGCCTTTACGTTACTTTTATTTGGATGTACAGCCTAAAGACGAATTTAATAAATGTTAGTTATTCACGACTGTATGTTCCTTAAATTATGTGTTTTTATTCATTCCATAATGGAGACGTGTGTATTACACCCAGCTGAATATTAAAATTGGTTGTGAATTGTTCAATTTTTTTAAAATAAATTTCTTACTTATTATTAAAAACATTTTGCAACCTAATTCTTGAATATTTCGATAATAATTTACTACAGTTTCAACTTGATATACGTCAATCTTTATATAGACGACAAACAGAGCTTTGATTGGTGTTAAAACTAAAAATATTCTCTTTTTTCTTGGATATTTTACCGAAATGTGTTTTTTTTTTAAGTTACATACACCCTTTAACTAAAAGGTCACTAAGTGGCAATGTCAGTTTAAAAAAAATTATAGTGCCTTCGCGTTAAGAAAATAGCGAGTCATCGTTGTACGTCGGCCTGGCCACGCCCCCAGCCAATTAAAATGCAAGAAATTAGGAAGCCGAGTTCACAGTGACCAGTTGAAGTCAGGCCTTCGAACAAAACGGTTGTGTATTTTGCGTGTTACTCGTTCAACATTAAATTTTGAAAATTATTACCTCACCTATTCGAAAGAATAAAATTGGATAATAATCCATAGCGGAGAGACGCGTAATTTACAATGTTTATAAGTACTTTAAATGTTTTAAATGCGACTGTGAAGAGCACAGTAATAAAAACAGCAAGTGCATGTGGTGTGTCCGAAAATACTGTTTATAAAATTATTAAAGAACAAAGGGATACTAACACATTAAAATCACCCGTGAAAAAAAGAGCTCGACTATCGACGGTCGACAAATTAGATGAACTAGACAAATGTGCAGTAAGGAGAAAAGTTCACTCAATATATTTAAGTAACGACTACCGGATATTGGACAAAATTATAACACTTTGCGAAGCTGACGAAGATATTCATGTTTTCAAACGTACCACACTTCATAAAATATGCACGAGCTTGGTTTCGATTTCAATAAACAGGATAACCATTGAGTTATACAACACTAGAGGAGCAAACCACATTACCGCGCGTCGAAAAAAGTGTAACCACTATCCAAACGCGAAGACGTAGCTTTGAAACTAATAACAATTTTAAGTAAACATATATCTATCTTACTTACACAAGTTGCGAAAACAATATCGTAGCTAAGATTAGATAAAGATAGACACACAAACATGCAATGGCGGGTTGGTGTGGCTTACTATATGAAATTTTACCTAAAATACGCAATAAAAATGAGTTTTTTTAAGCTGCAGTTAATTGTTTTTATATTAAAAAAGGTATATTTTATTTTAAAATCTTTATTACGTCACCTTAGAAAAAAAGATACAAAGCTTATCAGATGAATAGAAGTAAACATAATGATGAAATAAAACGTATTTTTATGGTTCTAATAAATCAAACAATATAAAATAGGTAGTAAAATATAATTAATATAAAATTTATATGAATTTATATTAAAAAAATTTATATGAAATTATAAATAATATAAAATTATTAATAAAAAATATGTAATAAAATATAATTAATATATAATTCATGAATAAACTAAAATAAGAATAATTAATTATTTTGTATGAAAGTTAAAACGTAGTTTTTATTATAATTTCCAAAATATTTAAAATCAGAGGTATCAAATTAACTTACTCCATTAATTATATAGTTTCCCATTAATGTAGGATAATCACAAATGCGGAAAAGTGGCAACATTGAACCTAAATGGCAATATTCGATAATTTTATTCAATTATTTGAGGTTTTTTACGTTTATATGGAAATAAGAACTAAAAATTATGTGTTGAAAGTGATTCCGCTTGATTTATTACGTTTTTTTGACCTTGAATAGCATTTTTTCACTACGCATTTACCCATTTTTGTCGCGGCTCAACTCTGTCGGCGTCACATTGAACAATGAACTCACGTTAGCTAGGTATATGGCTGTGGCCATATGTGCAGTGGCAACGTTTTGGCGCGGTTATTACTGATCTAGTGTTATATAAATCAATGAGGATAACAGAACATTGTTAGTCGAAAGACAAGATATTGTTTTATGGAGGCGTAAATATCTGAGGCAAATAAAAGAATACAGAGCCGCTAATAAAACCATTTACTATCTTGACGAAACGTGGGTAAACGTGGGACGCCGGACACGTAAAGACAAAAGCATGGTTGGATACAACGGTAAAAAATAAAAGCCAAGCCTTTCTAGATGGCTTATCAGCCGGTCCAAAAACTCCGACAGGAAAAGCTAAAAGGTTAATTGTATTGCACATTGGCAGCGACAAAGGATTCGTGGAAGATGGTCTACTAGTATTTCAATCTAAGTCTACAAAAGACTATCATGAAGAGATGGATGGTGAAAGATTCCTTAATTGGTTCATTAATATAATGCCTAGGCTAGAACCAGGAAGTGTGGTTGTCATGGATAACGCTCCCTGTCATTCGATAAGAGTCGAAAAAATACCAACAACCAGCTGGAACAAGCATCAAATAATAGATTGGCTGCAAAGCAAAGGCAAATCCATGGACATGACTTATTTAAAAAAAGAATTATTAATGAAAATTGCCGAAATCGCCCCACAATATAATAAATATTTAATAGATGAGACTGCCAAAAGTAATTACAACAATTCTTTGCCTACCGCCTTACCATTGCAAACTTGATCCAATTGAATTGGTTTGGGCCTAAATAAAAAATTATGTTGGTGCCAATAACTCCACGTCAAAATGAGTGACATAAAAAAATATTAGATGACGCAATAGCATTAATAGACGCTAATCGTTGGAAGAAGTGCTGCGACCATGTGATACGCGAAGAAAATACCATGTGGAATTTGGATGACATCATGGAACTTGCAGAATAAAATTCTTTTATAATTAATGTAACTGGAGAATCTAGCGATACTGATTAGTGATTTAAGTAATTTTAGATAATTTGTTTCCATTAAACTCAATTAAATGTTTGAAAAAAAAAGAATTTTTATTCCACTGTGAATACACCTTTACCCTGTAGTTGCACTGATGGACTCACTATTTTTCTTAACGCGAACGGACAATAATAACTTCAAAATCAGTTACGAAAAAATCAGCAGGTAGCAATTTTCTGTTTCAGTCTTTAAATAAATATATTAAAGAAAAACAAAATAAAAAAATAAAACAAAAAAAAAATACCCTGTAAATGTATGTTAACTTGTGCAACCCTGTCTTGTTGCGCACGCGCATCCTTTTGTTGTCGACGTGCCGCTTTGTCAAGATTCGGCGGAAGTGGGGTGCAGGCGCTAAGCGAAGGCAGCTCCCCGCCGCACCCATCGAGGAGCCCGCCGTACTGGAGCTCTATAGGATATTGGGTTGTGTTATAAAAAAAAAAACAAAACGAAATGATACGAGGAAAGAAATAAAAACAAATGCAAAGAATATCATAAAAATATATGTACTGTTTGTTTAGAATTGTGTGTATGTGAATGTTACGTGCGTAAATTGAACATGGGCAAACTTTGCCATATAAGTATACATTTCGAATTCCCCTTATTTTGTTTTTAATTATAAAACTAGCACTTACGTTTTAAATTAATGTAGTATAATTTAAAAGAAACTAATTTTTGTGCAATTCAGAGGGCTGGTTCTTTTCTCGCTTAAAGGCTTAAGGGGAAATATAACCTCAAATGGCTTAGCAAGATCCTCCGTTATACCGAAAATATTGCAGCATTAATTTTGAAATAAATATATGGTAAAATTGAGGATTAATGTTAAGGATTATGTTAGACGAAAACACGATTCCGTAAAATTTTCTCGATAAAAAAAAATCAAAGTTACCTTCAAAATAAACAATAAACCGCTGTTATTCATAAAATACTTTAAATAAGATCATGAAACTTTGCATACTAACTGAACTAACTATAAAGCAGTGCTTATGTTATTTACTTTTTTTTAAATACCATTATTTTCACTGTAAAAAGAAATTACCTAAACTATCGGCCTCTTGAAGCGTGATTCCTGCCGCCGGGTCAGTTTCGCTTCGGTCTTTGAAAGGGGAGGTTGTGTCGCTTATGACCAGAATACACATTACGCAACAGGACGACGTAAAATTAAAATGGGAAATAACTGTGATAAAAATAAGAAGCGACTGGCTTGGCGTTAAGAAACAGGCATAAATATGATAAACCTAATGAAATAAGTGTCTAACGACCTATCTACTTACAGTATTAGTGATTACAAACATGTCGGTACATACCATACGACAAGCGGAGAAGTGGGGGCGAAATTAGAATTTGAGCTGACTTACTATATCCCCTTAAGTATAGTTATTCAGTAAGGAAACGCAGCGTTCTTAGCACGGTACTAGGAGGACTGTAGTTTAAGTTTTTCATTTTAGTTTTTCTTTATTAAAGTCTTTTTAATACTATATACTGAATGACCTTTTTATTTCCAGGAAAAAAATAGGGTGTTATATGTGAGCGGAGAAGCCTATGGCAGTATGGCACTGATATTTTACAAAAATAAAAACAAAAATTTTACACCCTATATTTTCAGACGGTAAAAAGGTGACACAGTATATATCATTAGATGTTAATAAATATGTTTATTAATATTTTGACCACCTAAGTATGTCACACAAAAATCCTATTAAATAGCTCTATATACATTTATAAAAGAAATATCTAAGCCTACCAAAATTGCGCATCCGCACGTTTAACTCGTTGTCATTGTTATTGTATGTTAATGTATGTATGATGGCCTTACTACATTATTTGTGCGAAAAAAGTTTTGTACTCTTTAATATCAAGCAAAGGACAAAAGTATGTCCTACATAGAACACAAGTATATATATATATATATATATATATATATATATATATATATATATATATATATATATATATATATCTTGTGTTCTATACCTTAAAATTACATTTAAACCAGCCACTGCTCGCGTGAAAATAAAAAATATCTATTTTAGTTTATCATTCGGCAAAAGTATTCCATGAGCTAATCCATTCAGTCATTTACGAATGAAACAGTTTTTTAAGTTTGTATATATTATACTAGTAATCCGCCCCGGATTCGCACGGATGATTTCTGAACTTCAACAACACACAACCTGGGGACCTTCAAGAAAAGAGCTCACTCCTTTCTAAAGGGCCGGCAACGCACCTGCAATTCCCCTGGAGTTGCGGTTGATCATGGGCGGCGGTAATCACTTAACATCAGGTGAAGCCGCATGCTCGTTTGCCCCCTTTTCTATATATATAAAAAAAAAAAAACTTAAACACAAAAACTTCATTAAAATCGATCGAGCCGTTCAGGATGAGTTCAGTGACAAACACACATATAGATTATTTTTATATAAAGATGTTGTTAGTTCTATAGATGAAAATAGCTGTCTTACATAGATTGCCTAGTACGGGGGATATTTGCCAGGTTGTCAAGTTTAGCTGGTGGGCTGGCAACCGCAGTTTTTAATTATTTTGAGTGGTTACCAGATAGATGCTGTTTGTAGCACGAATGGGTCGACTACTCCGGGGAAGGACCACGCTCTCACAGAATACCAGCGTAGAATAGCAGCTTAATACTAACGTGTTTCGTATGGTAAGTGTAGAGATCCGGAGACCTTTTTTAACAGAAACGAGACATTGCATCTTAGTCTTCAGGGGTGACAACGCATCTGCATTTTGATTATTAATCGAGGATAAATGTAGATGTCTATGGGCCACAACATTCACTTACCATCAGGTGCATGAATCATCGCATGAAAACACAATGTGTCTCACAAGTAATACATATTATATTAAATTAGATTGTTAAGTGCGATTGCCAAGTCAATCTATTTAAAACATAAAAGATTTTTAATATTGATATGGTCACCATAAGATGTTGTTAGGTTAGCTAATTACGTAATAACTTAAGACAGAAGGACCCTTAAGTAGGGACTGAATAAATAACCGACTTGGTATTACATAGAACTCACAACTTTTTACGGTAGAAGAACAGAGTTGCGAGAATTGGTTTTTTTACAAGTTATGTTTTTGATGGCATTGTTATTTTCTATTGATGGTAGAATACATCTATAATATTTAATAAGCAAGATTCCTTTACTACTATTTGTTTTTTTTTTATAGAATAAGGGTGACAAACGAGCACACAGTGCACCCGCGTTAGTATTAGTAGTAGTATTTATATTAGTATTATACTAAGATGCAATGCTTCGTTTCTAGTAAAAAAAGGGTCTCCGGATACCTACACTCACCATACGAACCACAGCAGTAGATATTAAGTTGCTATTTTACGCTGAATATTCTGTGAGAGTACGGTCATTCCCCGGACGAGCCGACCCATTCGTGCTACAACCATAATATAGCTGCAGCGTGGCTCTACCACGTAGATTAGGCTATATGGGTTCGAAAATCCGCCGGAAGTATATTTCAGTAATTGTATATTTGATTTGTCACAGTACCTATACAATTGTCACAATATAATTTGTTTTGATCTAAATATATCGTATCCTTAGGCTTATATTACTCTATCTGAACATTAAAGCTTTAAGCCACATATCTGTTACAGGTAGTAAGACTTTAAAATTGATTCTTCGTTCATTTTCAATATACAAAGTAGTTTTTCGAAAAGAATCCAACCTCGCAAAACGTTACTTTTGAGAAAAATAATGGCTTGCTTAAATCCTGCAGATTTATACAATTTTGATCTGTGATTAAATAAAATTAAAAAAAATTGTATCGAGTGTGACTGCTATTGGAATTGTAACCTACTCGTAATATAAATTAGTCTTCGTCGCCCCCGCCGAAAAATCTGAGGGCGTATGTCCTGATCAATGTGTGTACCAATGTGTACGAATACTCCACAAACTCAAAGAGCTATGCTCCGAGTTTCTCTGGTGGATAAGATACGTAAAAAAAAAAATACAACCAAAGACACCGACATAGCCTTTCGCTTTCACATTTGTCGTCGAAGTGATAACCATTAGAGTAAACGTATCATAGAGTGGAGATCGCGCGGCGATTATTGTAAGGCTGACATCAAATGGATGCTTGAATCCGAAGATCGGGCTAAATGGCGTGTGCCTATGTCTGTCGTATGCTGATGATGATATAAATTGGGCTATAAATAATATTTTTCATATTAATTTTAGAGTATGGCTTGGATTTTTACATAACAGCGTGCAATGGGTCAAATAAACTATAAACCCAAAGATTAAATTTAGTGATCTCGTTCATCGTACGTCATAAAATATGAGTAATACCAGGAATAACAAACAATAGAAGGAAATTATTTACGAAGTTATCTAAAAGACTAACACTCTCGCTAGAAATATTTATCATTATTTGAGTATAATACGATGGTTACGATGAGAAAGTTGAAAAGGAAAAATGATTGTAATCAGAGAATTAAGAAATAATTGAAGTAAAATATTTGTTAAAACAATAGTGGGAAACAATTTTGGTTAATTAAAAAAAAATACAAATTACACTTATAATCCAAATAACAAAAATGACTACAATCAAGTACTATTGTGATTGATACATAAATATCGTAAAGAATTCGAACGCAAATGGGAAAAAAATGAATCTAATTTAAACTATTCAAATTCTACGAATTCTAAATAGGTAGGTACGACTTGTAAATGGCTGTTCACCCACGCAATTGTCAAAGATAATTTAATAGAAAATAGATGGGGCAAGGGCTCTCAGAATGAAAGTTCAACTGTTACGGTCAATAATTCAATAATTGACAGAATGACTACTCTCTAAATGGATGATAAATGAAATTAGTCCCTAGTCACTTCGTAGCAGAGGAATGATGGTACATAAAAATTAAAAGTTGTTGTAACATAATTATTAATAATATATAATAATAATGTCCTCCAGACCGAATTTCGGTCACGGCGGCCAGCCTCAACGGAGTCAAGCCATCGGCGCAGGACAGGATTATAGTGCCCAAGTGTATGCGCAAGCACAGGTGCACTCTCTATTCCTTTACTCTCATGGTCCGTGGGACGGTAAACCGACACGACCGGAGAGAGATCAGGCGGAGAAACAACGGCTTTACGTGCTTTCCGAGGCACGTGGGTGAGACACCGCAAACTTCCTTACTCTGGGCAGCTACTGAGAATTTCTTAATGGAAAAACTCAATAACTGATATTTTTTGCCCGACCCGGGATTCGAACCCGGGACCTCATGATCAGCAGTCGCACTACTACAACCACTAGATCAACGAGCAGCCAACATAATTACTAGAGTAACTGCTACGTAAATATGCTTCTGGCAAATCATAAACATAAAACAAGCTTAAGTTAATACAGTAAAAAAGTTTAACTAAAAAA